TTTTTTTTTTTTTTTTTTTTTTTTTTTTTTTTTTTTTTTTTTTTTTTTTTTTTTTTTTTTTTTTTTTTTTTTTTTTTTTTTTTTTTTTTTTTTTTTTTTTTTTTTTTTTTTTTTTTTTTTTTTTTTTTTTTTTTTTTTTTTTTTTTTTTTTTTTTTTTTTTTTTTTTTTTTTTTTTTTTTTTTTTTTTTTTTTTTTTTTTTTTTTTTTTTTTTTTTTTTTTTTTTTTTTTTTTTTTTTTTTTTTTTTTTTTTTTTTTTTTTTTTTTTTTTTTTTTTTTTTTTTTTTTTTTTTTTTTTTTTTTTAAGTCCCCACCAGATGTCTACCCTGCAATAAGGAGGTTCGGTCACCCATTTTATGGTCTTTGTGCTTACTGCAGCCACAGCCAAAGCGCACTCGGGTCGTCAGTGGGTGAAAGGGATGTTGGGCTGTTACGTGATGACGCGGTATGCACTATGGTGTGTGCGCTGCCCCTTTTCCCTGTCACATGGTGGTGACCTCTTAGCCTTTAAAATATTTTTCTTCTTTGACTAGATGATATCCTGAATGTTTATCTTTAAGATCAGAAAAAGATATCGCACACTCAGTGGGTTAGTATTAAATTGACTACAATTTACACAAGAATTTGGTGTTCTTTATATAGAACTACCTGATCTCTCTCTTTGAATATCTATAACTAATCCATCACAAAGATTGCAGTTTATGATTACTACTAACTTTAATCTTGCTTCTAAATACCTCAAAACAGTCTCCAAGATTGTTATTACTTCAGTCATCCCTAATGTATGAGTTTCCCACACCTTATTTTTACATTAAAAGTTCACAGGAAATTATTGAAAATATATACCATCGTGAAGATTTCTGTCACCTCGAAATAGCATCAACCTCAGGTTCAGGAGAAAATGGTGTGCGTTGACTTAAAGTTTTGGTTACTGTAACTATTATTTATGCTTTTATCTCCCCCCCCCCTCCCCCTCGTCCCTTACTTCTTGTCATTGGGTGGGGGGATGGGGGGGGCTTAGGAGATAAAGACCAAGCCCCAATGTAAGGGATCACCCCAATCATGGACCTCAGCCCTCAGCCTAACCAATTTTGCACGGTCTTTTTTCCTCCCCCTGTCCTCTCCTAAACATTAACTCATTTTCACCCTTTTTGCCACAATACTTTACCATAGTGTTATAAGACCTTTAATGTCTAGTACATTTATTTGTTTTAACCATTCACCATGTTGTTTTTATTTTTTTCAATGTGTAGTCTTCAGCATACGTGTGAGGTAGTGGCTGTGAGATAATTTTGTAAAGAACACTGTAATTGTATGACTATATTTGTGTATCTTCAAGCATAATGTGCTTGAAATTGTGTCCTAGATTCTGGTCTGTGATTGTTAAACAGAAGATAAATGCAGAAAGAAATAAAAGGGAAATATATTGAAAATTACCTTCGAGTAATGCAACATTGAAAAAATATTTGTGTGATAGTTATATAACGTTTGATTTAATAAGCACCCACAGTATTGAAATTCCAGTAATTTATGAGGATTCAGAAAATGAGTCAAGATTTGTGGATTTTCTTCATGAAAAAAAAGAAGAACAAGAACGAAATTTGTTGCAAGCTCATGAATCACTTGAATATCATAACAGTTTTGAACAACATGCAAGCACTAATTTGTTGCTTCCATTCATGACACTGACAAAGGAGCATCTGGTGAGTAGAACAAGAAATCAGTAATTTTGTTGAATATTGAATTAACACATTAAACATAATTAACAATATTATCACTAATTACTTTGAATTGCCATTGAATGCAGCTGTTGACCCTGTTCTGTTTTATAGTTACTAGGAAACAAACAAGGTTTTATTACTAGAAATATTTACTATGTTAGTGTGTGTGTTAACCACATGCCATCGGGGACAGTGCATAAAAAGTAGGGGAAATGCTGTGCTCATTTTTTGTGTTTTTGTGAAATGTCTCTGCACATAGATGGCTCTGCTAGTGCTTAGCCACAAAGGAGTCAATTAGTAGACCTTGTGACCTTACCTACTTTCACCTTTACTTGAATTGGCAGGAAAAACATATTTTTTTACTAATGCTGTGAATATCGATGATATTATTTTTATTATAGACATTATGATTACTATAATGTTGAAAACATTAGTAACATCAAACTAAGATAACGTTAAATATTTTCATAAATCAAGGAAAAGTCTAAATGGACGAGACAGGCAGCACTCATAATAGGCTTATTGGTGATTTAGTGCAAGTGTAGCCATCTATGAGTAGAAACAATTAATAAAGTAAACTTACAGTGGTTATGGCCATTGGCAATGGGTTAATCTTCTCCATGATGTGCCTATGAATATACTTTTTAATGCAAAACAGATATGACTTACATAAATGTTATTGACATATTTACATACTATATACAATCATTAACTTCTTTTCCACAGATTATTTGCATGTACATGATCTGAGTGAAATTTTAAAGCTCCATGCTACCTTTT